TAGACTTTAGAAATTAACATCTGTATTTTGTTTCTTGTTCATGGGATGATTTTAAGTCTGTAATCTTAATAGCTAATAACAAGTATTCTAAAGGTATATTGCCGAGATGGAATATAAAATGAAAGTAACTGTTGTAGTATGTAACAAATCCATAACATTTATTTAGTTATCTTTATATATCTTTTGCTTTCATACAATATTATCCATTCCTCTCTCTGTTTTTGTCATCTCTACACTGGTAGCTAGGCGAGCATAACCAATTTTATAGAGCAAAAGTATCTATATCTACAGCTGTTCCACTGCCTGGCAACCATTCAATTCATAAAGTGATCACTTATACAGTACCATATTGATAAATAACAGAATCGTGGTCAATGGGAAAATGTATTCATAAGATTGTCATACTAAATGAGCAACTTCATTAGTCAGTACCTGGAGAAAGATGACATGCTGTTGCTAGCTGTGATATAGGCTAGAAAAGGGGAGATGCTGACAATACCTGCCACAGTGTATGAGTAAAGTCAGATCAGCTGGGGGCGGTGGGAAAAGGCAACAACATACTATAACATGCATATTTTTGTTAACAATATTACAAACACAAAATTACACATTTTAATTTGTATTTCCTTTCACTATAAACAAATAACCATTATGCTGTAGTCTAAGGATGTTCCTCTGTTCTGTTGCAATATATTGTACTGTTTTGCAGTTACAGGAAGACATACACACTGCACAAATTGGTGGCATGTATCCAAGGCCTACCAAATCTTCTTAAGTGTAGGTAAAAAAAAATGGCAAGTTGTAATGCTCTAAAATCTTTTAGATGATCATCCACAACAAAGCTGAGTTACAAATCAGAATTTCAGAGATCTGCTCTGTTTCCATCAGGATTGATGTGGAGAATGACTGCACATCATGATACACGTATCTTAGCGAGCGTGATGTTCCCTTTTCATTGGTATGCTGTGTGACAGCAGGGTTGGATCACACTGAGTGGTTTTCACTCTCACATCAACATCATGTACCCTGCTGTTCAATCTCAAATGTGATCCCATGTATAAACTACTTTCTGTCTGCACTGTAACCAGTCATTACCTACTGGCATCATTCTTAAATATTACCACTATAATATAAATTTTTATCTTATTAATACTTTAGGGCTTAGCACCATTTTTGTACTAAATGTGACTTATACTCAGTTTTGCTATAACTANTTCCTCCCCCCCCCCCCAGCCAAACTAAATAAACTTCCAGAACATTCTCAATCTGTAGAACAGCCTGGAAGTGTCAAGAAAAATCTTGATGTGGAAGGTCTGGAAGCATTACTTCATCCATGAGTATATAAAGCCTGATTTAGGACTGCGCAACACAGACAGATAGTAAAATGACACACACAGAGAGAAGAGAGTAGATGGCATTATATTGTACTGAATTACAGTGTAGTGTAGTACACTGTATTGTATAGTAAATCTGTGTAATATTGTGTACTGTCAGTGAAATAAATCATGTCAGTTATCTTCATGACTAGGGTGTGGTCCAGGGACTTCTTTGGGAGGAACCTCTCGTTGAAGCATGGCCTGTTAAACCCTGAAGAGAATCTCATGCTCACACCCTGAACAATGCTGCCTTTTCCTACCCTCACGTCACTCCTGGTACTTTGATGTGGTTCCAAGACCATGTGGCACTCAACAACTATGACTGAGCAGAGAATGTGAAGAAGAACCGTCATAAGTGTCGCCCTACACAAGGCTTTGTTAACGTGGAAGAAGAACAATCATAGCACTTAACCTAATCATCACAGAGCTTATCCCTTTTAATGTTATTTAACCTATCTGTCTGAGAGCTGTAAAAATCAGATTCCAGGTTCCATGCTTGGCTAGGGTTGAAAATTTCTTCCTTGTTAATGTTATCTGGCTGTAGCCATATTTATATCACCTCTTTCACAAGTCAGTCTATGTAAGTTGATGTTTTTGTTGGTACCTCTATACTGCTATATCCTGGAGCGTGATTGGGTGTTATGTTCTGTCACTGTGAATTTGTCCAGCTGATACAAAACTTGATGCCGGATGTGTTCCTTACATTTTGTGTAAATGGCTCAACCTCTCTGTTGAAGATATATTCTTCCACATCGCATGGTATGCTACAGACTCCTAAGGCCTTCAACACAAAGTCATCCTTTACTGGTCTTAACATGTCTGAATTTTTCTTATTTGGGATGTGGACTGTCTTTATCTTAAATTATGCTAGAAACTTACTATTCTTGTATGATGTAGTCTGTCTAAACAGTAAAATGGACACCCCAATCCACCTTTCCTTTTATGTTGTTCTCTTGCCAGATATAAAATGGGACAGATTATTCCTTACTTTCACTCCACCCTCCCAGTTTGCCAATAAGGAATAGGTATTTCTATGACACACACACATATATATAAATGAAATGTGGTCATTCTCCACACTGACCATAATGACGGAGACAAAATTATATCTCTGAAACTGTGGTATTTAATTCAACTTCAGCATGCCCAGTTGGATGAGAAGATTTCAGTGCATTCATTCACTCTGAAAGTTTATAATTTGGCAAGTCATAATGTTAATAATACTGATTCAAATTAACAATGTGTAAGGTGAAGTAAAGTGTTTTCAAAATGAAGTATAAAACTTAAAAACAAGAGAATAAGTAACAAATTCTTCAATAGCTGCATGGAATTCATACATACTTATTAATAAACTGTTTTATTTCTTTTGATTCATCAACATTCAGTTTATTGACAATCCTTAACCAATCGACTGCTGAGTATTTCTTAGCTTACTGATTCATCAGGATGGGAAGAAACATACAAATTCTTCCAAACTGTAGTCAAAAGATGGCACATGTCAGTATAGATTTCAGGAAAGAAAAAATAGCATATGTTACAGACCTTAATATTCTGGATGAACTAGTCCAGTATATACCATGCATAATGGGTTCAAAGGGTTAAATTAACAAGATCCACTTAAAAATAGCACACTCAAGTATACAATTTAAATTTCAAATGAAGTGGATAATTTTCCTCCAAAAAGTATATGATATGATGCTATATTTTAAACAAGACATAGCACTGTATAAATTACCAGCTCTCAAGGATTGTTCTAAATTAGATAAAACTAAAAAACATATAAATATGCATGCACTCACACATACACAGTTCAGTAAATGAAACATATTTGCAAAAATTTCTCCTCATACAGATAAATCTGTGGAAGGCAGGAGGAAGAGTCCCTCCTGTGTGTGTGTGTGTGAGAGAGAGAGAGAGAGAGCAAGAGACACACACACTTTAAATAAAGGCAACTATAATGCTCCCCCTTGCTTCATTACCAATTACACATGTGGATCACAGATGATAACCCCGTTATTTAGGAGCAAGAGACCAGTTTGGAATTGTTCAAGATTCACAGATGTTTCAACATCAAAATTAAGTGAAAATAAACATTCTGCAAAAAAATTAAGTTTTAAGTCTCAGCTTCGTTGGTTATGAATTCAAATCTCACCTACCATGTTGCTTTTTTTTTGTTGCCTGTCCCTATAATCATAAAGCATTTGTAAGAGTATGGAACTTCCTTGGTCATAGATTTGAGATGCCATGCATGTTTTGTGTTACGTTCCTTTAATCCATATCACAATCATTTGTTCACTGTGGGGGCTGTGCAACTGGCCAGTTCCCTAATTCAATGAGACAAAAACTTTAGCAGGGAAAAAGTCTGTAGATTGTATAGTTCAAATGAACTGAGCTGTTGAAATCAGTTAAGAAGTGTGAACTGGACTGTAGGTTATTTAATGACACTGTATCAACTGCAGCTGCTGTTTAGAGTTTAATGCTATTTAGTGAACATGAAAGAATTTTGAAGTAAGTGGTCACTGTCTATTTCAAGGGACGTTACTTGCGTCCAGTTGAAATTAGTCAGGAAAACCATAAAAACCTTCAGCAAGGGTATTTGGTAATCCAGCTGAGATCTGAACTGAGAATCTCCTGAATATATTTCTGAAACATATTGATGACAAGAAGGGAATGCGAGCGGTGTTAAAAAAATTTATTTGCGGAATATCAGAATATTTGGTACCACACAGGAATGGGTGATTTTCTAAATAGCAGTTTAGAAGCTCTAACGATTCTGATCCAATTTCATTAGTCAATGGAGACTAAATAAAAATGTGTATGTGGTATCTTCAGGAAAATAATTGTGCATACACTACAAGCCCAAACATAAAATGTCAGTTTTCTTGAAATTGGCTCTACTGATCAGGTAGATTTCACTGTTGTTTGGTACTCATATACCAGTAATGATCTGATCAGCAACAATTTCATTTGCAAGGTAATGCAGCCAAGGTCAATTATATGAGGAAAGCATGGGCAATGACTGCACCAACTTTTGGTACAGTTCTTAAGAAACATTTAGCAGGAGATAGAATCCTTCATAACCACTGATATGAGAAAGATGCAAGGAAGCAAACTGCAAAAAGTGTTACTACTTTTACATCACAGAATAGCAGGTTATTATGGTGAATGAGACGTACATTGTTTTGGTTCTCTTCATGCTGCTGAAAATTTTAGAAAAACCAATGCACAGCAAGAACCTCCTGACTTTTATACCTTCCTTTTCTGAAATGCTACCCCTTGAAAAATTCAAGCTCATAATCTAATATCTTCATTTCACTGATAATTCCATACTATATGAATATCAATTTCCTACCAAATTTTCAAAATATATCTATGTTCCCAAATCTTCTGCACTCGAAAAAAAATTCCAGAATTTGCATCTTGTAACCAGAAGCGGCCCAGGTTTGATCCTGGGTCTGGTCAAGTTGGATTTGTGGTGGATAAAGTGGCGCTGGGGTGGGTTTTCTCTGAGCACTTCGGTTTGCCCTGCCAATCTTCATTCTACCAAATTCTCCATCATAATCACCTGGGGAAGGCTACAATAGGCCAATCAGTGGCCACCATGCTGAGTGGACCCAGTTGGACTCCACCCCCACTAAGTGAATTAAAGAGTAACCAGAAAGAAGTAGGCAGCGAGCAGAACACCTGCCTGCTTCCTACTGATTACTTGCTTGGCTTACTCTTCCACCCTAAAGATGGAGGCAGTATGTTCCTCCAAAATGTCAGTGAACTTTTATTGGACTACATGGTGTCACATCCCAGAACTCAGTACTCTTCAATAAGCTCAGAATTTTAGCAGGGAAACTTCTTGGACAATGTTCACTGCAAACTGCATGATGGAGAAGATGGAGAAGATTGATGGAAAGTCTCCAAAGCAGTCTTCACCTTAAGATGTTCTGAATAAAGTTTCTGTGTATTCTCGTCTCTTCAAGTGTGCTACACCTGTCTTATCCACTGGAAATTTATCTCCCTTAACTATCTCAGTTCCATCATAGCTTCTACTTGAAATTAAAAACTGTGCAAGATCTGGTATCATGCATCACCCATACACCCCTGAGGAAAACAATCCACAGAACATTAAGGGTCCCATGGAACTTATTACATGCCTTATAAATACAGGAGTGTGTCATATATGGTAATTACTTCAGTAAAATACAAATTTTATATAAAGTACAATGTAATGTTATATAATGTTGATACTGACAGTGTCAAAAAATAACCCACAAAAGAATATGAACTACAAAAGCTAATATAACGAACAACTTCTTGAAGAAAATAGACATCCAGTGGAATACTGAATGTTAGTAGCAGGAAATCTAATGAAACACTTCACTCTCTGTGTATAACACAATGTACAGATAACATTCAACATTATAGATGTATATTTATAAAAATGCTAGTCACCTCAGTTCCATGTGTTGTTAATCTTATGCAGAAAGAGTTCACAACTGAGTCATATACAAAACCAGGTGACGAAGTATCATGATTCCTCAAAACCAAGAGACAAAGTACTAAAATTTCATATATCTTCATACTTTCTTCTAAAGCAGACTGAACTGAGACCCTTTATCAAATACTGCATCATTTCATATACATATTTATGCTTCCTTTCTCCTATATTTATCACTTAAACTCAAGCAGCCAATCCTAGATTCTATTATGTACAAGAAAATGTGGTGTTTGTGCAACATATCTTGCAAATTGCCATCACAGACATTTTTCCCCAATACTGGCAGGAATGTTCTCTAAAAGTCATCATTATTGAGCTATCAGTATCAAACATGTGAGATACACATCATCAGGAGTACCATAAATTTTGATTTAGCAATTACACATTCATGTAACTAATGTACATACAATCTTTGTACAAAATATAATCTCTTAACCGAAGTCTTGTACACAATGAGTATTTCAATCCACATATAACTGTTTTAGAGATGCTTTAAAACGCTTTATATACAGCGTGTGCTACGGACGGCTTTCGGATGAAATCAGGAGAAGCCTCAATCCATAATAAAACATCTATAAGAAGAGACAAAACCAGCAAGCATGTCTCTCATTATTTTATCGGATACATATTTCTAATTCAAATGGAGGTAAATATCTTATTAGTTGATTGATAGATACCATTAAAAAATAACAAAAATAATAATAATATTGGTAACTGAAGAACTATGAAACCATGTAACAATAATATAAATAACTAAACAATAATTATAATAAAGCAATATATTTGTTCGATAAACTAAGGCCCCAATTTCCACTCCAAATGCAGGCCGAGTTCATTGGAATTGTTGAAAAGACTGCAACAGAATTAATAGTTATTTATATTTGTTATTAAAAAGACACAAAAAAGAAACTGGGCATTAATTGGTATAATAGTTCCCAAAACATATGCAAGAGGAAGAAAGCCTGTAGTTGGTGAAGAACTCAGTCCTGCTGTCCTATTTCTGTTAAAGAAATATGTCTTCAGAGTCCTCAGCACTGGTAAATACCTGGTTTCTTTTATTCACTCAAGTTAATCTTAATTAGCTTTCCTAGCTGGTTCCTTTTCATTCATTCATTTCAAGCAATACAGCTTCACAAAATCTCTGGAAACAAACTATCAGAGCACCATTTACTAGTAAAATGTATGGACAACATAAAAGAGATTTTGAAAAAGACTTCTTACTACTGGGGGAGAAAAAAAAACACTTTTGCTTCAGAACACAATTCAGACTTTTTGGTGGTACATGGCCAGGCTTCATATTGAGATATAACTTAGAATGAAGTTTAAGTTTCTTACAGTGTAATAGTAAAATTTCAAAATGGCCTGAATGTGCTGCCAACAGACATGTCGCATATTAATGCTGCTTCATAGTACGTAGTGGCCTGTACCATGTACCACCTTCAACACAGCATCACTTTCCTATTAGCACATGACTTCATTTGAGAACATGAAATTTAAAAACTAATATTTGAACTCTCTATAGATTACCACATATTTCTTTCGTCTACATTCAGTAGTTAGTTGCTTCTTACCTGGAGCTCAATATGACATGCTTTCAACAGCTGGCTACTCCTTTTTGCTAATTGCAAAAAAGGTAACATGATTCAATCACTATAGTCCATTGTTTTGATAAATTCAATGGCTGAGCAAAACTGAATCCACCAATACTGTTCTTCTCCTTCCAAGCGATTTCCATAGAAACTGTTTACATACTGAACAGTTGACAGTAGTGAGGGTGGATTTGCCTGTGACAAGAATGCTTATTTAGTATTCCTATATGTTACAGTAGGTATTTAGGAACACATAGTTAATTCTTCAGTGCTGTTATTTTCACTTTACCTGGTGACACACCATCAGATTTGGATACCTGTTTACTTTTGTAAAATTTCAAAAAGACTATATTTGACTAATGGTTAAATGAATGGCTTACATTCCACCACTCCCCTAATATATGAAGTTCATGCAGTTAAAAAAATAAAGATTGTCATGAAGCAGAAGCTGTAAAGGCAAATCAAAGTAAAGTTGGCTCTGTGTTTAATTAAGCAGCAAGTCATGAAGATATATGTGGGAGTGGAGGTATAGCGCCATTATTCTTAACCTAGATGGAGGACAGTGATCAGCTTCCCATCCCTGACATTTTACTGCTGGTGAAACGTCCCTAGTATTTACTGCATGGGAGGCTCGGAGGGCCCCAAAGCTGGGCTGGGTGCTATGTAGAAGAGAAAAATCTCATGCCCATGCTCCAGATTTCTTGGTTGCTCAGCCCATAGTCCAGTCATTAATAGCATTATTGCCAATGCTGAATATTCATATGTAACTATGATGTTTCAATAATTTATTTTTTAAGCATTTACAATAATCATTCATACATACATACTAACAGAGCTGAGTCCTTCTTGAGGAGCTGCCAATTCTGCAGCTACTCAAGAATTTCCCACCATTTTATGGAACCTGAAGGTTCATTACCATGTTCACACAAGCCTCCACTGGTCCCTATCATGAGCCAGATCAATCCAATCCATACCATCCCATCCTCTCTCTCTAAGATCCATTATAACATTGTCCACCCTCCTATGCCTTGGTCTTCCCTGTGGTCTCTTTCCTTCTGACTTTCCCACCAATATCCTACATGTGTTCCTCCTCCCCCCATTCGTGCTACATGCCCTGCCCACCTAATCATAATCATAATCATACATACTAAATAAAATACAAACATATCATGAGACAAAATCAGGCAAGGGTACACTGAAGCAGATTACTTCCTTCACATGAAATGCATGATGTCTATTATAAATTAATGGTTATCAGGTACACCTGAGACAAATAACTGTGTAGCGTCAGGAAATACAACATGTGTATGGCTAATGTATGGCAATAAGAGGATAAAGAAAGAACAATTACTAGGAGCAAGTTTTACCCCCCCAAAAAATGGCCATTATGAGATGGTGTAAACATTATATTTATAACGGAGCAATATATCCAAGAACTTTATGATCAGTAACAAAATCATTTTTCTTTACAGTTTTACACTGTGAAGAGCATCCCCTTAAACTAAAATACATATCATACCATGCAGTTCCTCACAAAATAAATCAGTGGGAGTTTCAGTACATACCTTAATAAGAACATATACTAGTACAGGCACAAAATCATCTGCAGCTGGCACCCCTCGTTCACAAGCCATGGATAGCAGATTCATTATAGTTGTGGCACAGCGGGAAACACATTGAAGCTTATCACGTGGTGTCTTATATGCTGCCATTGCAGATATTTCTGCCTGTGCTGATGGCCAGGGGCATTCATAATGAAACATCTATTGAACGAAAAACATCATTCTGTGCATTCAATTCTGTGTTTGGAAGACAGCAAGACATAACAGATCATATGATAACCTTCTATATTACAGCAAAATAACTTGAATACATACGTGCAGAATAGTAATAAGTAATTTACCTTGGGGATGCGTAAGTCTTTGTGATTGGGTGTGATTATGGTAGACAGCTTCTTCATGTGTTCATGAAGAACCCTAAAACAAAATTGAATTTCATTTCATATTATATTTCATTTTTGAGAATTATAATTCTTATACAAGAAAATCTAATGCCTCATGGAACTTGAACATGTGAAAGTTTAATACTAACCCTTTAAATTCACCAGCTGTACACATACTACAATGCATCCCTCACCAGGAAACCAAACCTGGTACATGTACCACTGTCACTTTAAAACTCAACAGTAAAAAAAAAACTTCCTATAATAACAATATAGTGCAAGGGTCGTACTGAAAGTCATGAGCAACAATTTTTTGTAAAGTAACATCATTTATTATTGACAAAACAAATACACCACCTCAATTGTCAGATCTTCCTTTATTTTTCCACATAATCGCCACTTCTTTGTACACATTTCTCCAGCATTTTGGGAGTTTGAAAATTCCCCTTCTGTAAAATTCCGTTCCAGCCATCTGAAGACACCGACGCACTGCTTTCTGAATTCCCTCCCTTGTCTCAAAACGTTGTCCATGCAGCTGATCCTTCACAAATCCAAAAAGATGGTAGCTGGAGGGTGCCAGATCAGGGGTATAGGAGGGATGTGGAAGAACTTCCCACCCCATCTATGCAATTGTTTCCAATGTGAGGCGAGGGTTGTCATGCAGGATGATGATGTTCCGTCCCGGACATTTATCGTGCAATGCATGACGGAGCTTGTGCAGCGTCTGGACATAACAAGCAGCATTGATGGTTTGCCCAGGTTCCAGGAATTCGGCCAGAATAAACTCCTCTGCATCCCAGAAGACTGTGCCCATCACCGTCACAGCTGATGGCACTGTCTTTGCCTTCTTTTTTGATGGAGAATGCAAACGGTGCCATTCCATACTCTGCTGTTTCATTTCAGGCTTGAACTGGTGAAACTAGCTTTCATCACCTGTCACAATACAGTGCAAAAAATCATCACCTTCGTGTCGATATCTCTGCAGCAGTTCTGAGGTGATGGCTTTTTGCTGACCTTTGTGGTCGTCAGCCAATAATCGTGGGACCCAACGAGCACAACCTTTCCTATAGCCCAAGCTTTCAATCATCTCCTGTACTGCACTGTGCCCTATTCCAAGTTTTCGGGCTATTGTGTCCACAGTCACACACCTGTCATCTTGAATGATCTCATCCACTCTTTCCTTGTTGCGTTCAGTTGAGGCTGTTCGAGGATGACTGCTCCGAGGCCCATCTTCGATGCTGATCTTCCCATCTTTAAAATGTTTCGCCCATCTTTGAACACTGCTTGCACCCATGCACACACTTCCATACGCATACTGAAGTCTCTGGTGAATTTCTGCAGCAAGGATTTCCTCTTTCACAAGAAATTCGATGATAGCATTTTGATGAAACGACATAGGGTTGTCAGCCATTTTGTTAGGAGTGATACTGGTCATGTGATACAAGCTATTGACGTCACAAGACACTCAAGGTTAACACAACAGCTGGTTCCACCTACCACCATACTCTTTTTTGTCTGCTGTTCCCAGGTTGCATGCAAAAAGAAGTTGCTCATGACTTTCGGTACGACCTATGTAGTACCACTGTTGAGAGATCAAAGCTTGTAGTTTTTATGGTTCAGTAGTAGATGTCTCTCCATGGTAGCAATGTGAAGTAGTGCCATCTATGGTCAGGCACTACATTTACTCTCTTTGTCAATGAATCCCCCCGCAACCCCATTCAAATAGTTCTCATGCTGAAACGTGAGTCATAGGTCAAGGAGAGGTCATGTACTGTCCTAAGAACAGTTTGCTATACACTTCAATAATATACAGAGTTTGTTTATTTACATCATTGATATCACTCTACATTTGAACAGGGAAGCCTTTAATATATTTTTCTGCATGTCAGTGCAATATTTTCCTCGCAAGTGCAAACGTTTCATAACTGATATGCCAGAATCGATGCAATTACAAATTTCTTTCTGTTCCACTTTCAACTCTCCATCACAGGAAAAAGGAGTATTTAAATGGTACCAACTACAAAGTGTTAAACTTGAAAAGGTACTTCAGCTAGAAACTGAGATTCTTTGAAAGTTTAGTTCAGACTTTCCATTGCCTAACTGGCACAGAAAAAGACACATTCACTACTAGAAAGGCAACAATAACTTCACTTATTGTTAATGTTATTTACAAAAACTATCCTGGATACAATTATTCCAAACATAAATCATAATTCACCAAACTGACTTCATGAAATTAACAATTCCATTGGAACTGTGAAATGCAGAACAGAATATAAGGTGGGTGTCTGTCTGCCCTTGCATTGTATGTGATGTACAGTGTGAAGAGGAACTATAATTAACTTGATCTACCTCTACTTACAACTAAATATCTTCCAATACTTTTTGTCTTTCTAGGTTGTCATACTCACTGATCCCTGGAGACATCTCCATCACCATTTGGATAGAGGGCATGAGTATACACACGGCTGATTACTGCTCGCTCAACTGCAGTGTGAGCCTGTTCTAACTGTGCACTGCTGGCAGCTAAATAACACACAACACAGAAATGAAGGCTTTAGGACTACACCAATTCCAAAGTTAAACAGACAAAAATGCTGTTGTCATCTATATGAACGTGTATATAATTAGATTCTAAAGGGTTCTGATGATGGTGTATAACACTAAGAATTACTGGGTTATTCTGAATGTATATAATTAACTGACTCCTTGCGAAGCAGATGATAGCTCAGCTGACCAAGAAATTATCCATCTTTCACAGAACCCAAAGGTTTGTTATCATGCCCACAAGAGCCCACCACTGTACCCTATTCTGAATCAGATTACTCCTGCCTACACCATCACATCCTACCTCCTTAGGATTCACTTTAATATTATCCTTCCATATATGGCTAGGTCTCCCAAATCGTCTTTGCTTCAGGCTTTCTGACCCCCCAAAAATTTATCCAAGTCTGAGGCTCTGTGTAACATTTTTAATAAACCAATTTTTCACAGTGAGGAGTTCTTAGCCTCTGCCAAAACCACCAGCTGGAGGACCTCCCTTTGCTGAATGTAACTGCTTATTCAATACACTTGCAGATAACCACCATATACGGAGGTGATCTCCATCTGCAAACTGAGGACATGCTTTGCTACAATGACAACTGTTTCAAATAAGATAGTATAAATATATAGTCATAATTTTAAGCATGGAGATCACTGAAAATGTAGCTATATGTGTAAGTTACAAGATTTAATCTGTAATAGACATTTATATTCCAATCTAAAAATATTAAAATGTAAAAATCCTGAAGTTTTGTGAAACCAAAATCTTCCAAACAACACAGCATTTAATTTTTTCAATATACAATGTTTTAACATTAATATCAAAGTCAAAATATTCTGGTACAACATGAAAAGCCTATTATAACCCAACAAACCTTGACATGTTGTGATCAAAGTTCACATACCTTGCCATGTAGGATCTTTGTCCATTTCAACTGAAAGTGTGTGCAGAAAATTATCCAACAAATCTGTTTTCTCATCAGCAAGAGTCAACTGCTGAAACTCTGCAGTAAAACTGCCAAGTATCTGTTCTCTCTTCTCGAGAAACATCGTTACACACACAGCTACCAAGAACCGGCTGCACACTTGACAGTCGCATTTCAGTCTCTCAGTCAGCCTAAAACCAACAACCATGTTTCTTCTGCTCAAAATTATATTTTCTTCTTGAAAAATTATGGTTCTATCTTTTCGTATTACTTCATTACATTTTCTAGATCTTACTTGTTTCATGTCTACAGCTAAATACAGAGTAAGGCAGAAATGTTATGGCTTTTCTTGTGTTCACAAAAACATTTTGGTTTGAATAGCATCTGATGTCATAATGGAAAAAGTCAGAATAATGAGTTCAAGCACATGAACATAAATCATTAAGATCAGCTGTAATTCATCTCTTTAATACAGGCCATAAAATTAGAACTTTCTTAGATTATACAGAAGTTGAATATATATAAGTTTTGTATTGTACTTTGCTGGGTAGGTCATTGGGTTGTGGTGTGGTGTTTAGATACAGTAGTTCCTTTAACTTCAAGACTTTTTAACAATGAAAAGCAGACTCCTGTGAATATGTTAATGAACTTTCAAATTCTACATAAGGTAGGACATGATCAATTGATCACCTGAGTGGGGTGACTTGCTTATTAGGATAACACACAGAACTGGGTGCAAAATAACACTCATACATTTTTATTTAAGAATTCCCTCTAAATAACATACACAGTTTGTACCCCACAGGAGCCACATTACATCTCCATTATAAAGAACAATCCATTAATGCTGTTTAGGGAAACAGCCACTGTGTATTGTGAGAACCATATGAAACACACAGATACACACTGTGGACAAATGTAGAGTTTTAGTACGTTAAAACAAGTGGTACATATAGTAACTACTGGGCATTAAGGGGTTAAGGGATGAAAGCAAATAAATTGTATACAATTACTATGACTTACAGTTATTTATACTATTTCATATGGGAATATATAAATGCAAATTAAAAATGTATTCACCCTTGGCAAACACATCCAGCACATTATAGCCTCCTAGACTTCACAAACCTAAAATGTATTCACCCTTGGCAAACACATCCAGCACATTATAGCCTCCTAGACTTCACAAACCTAAAATGTATTCACCCTTGGCAAACACATCCAGCACATTATAGCCTCCTAGACTTCACAAACCTAAAATGTATTCACCCTTGGCAAACACATCCAGCACATTATAGCCTCCTAGACTTCACAAACCTAAAATGTATTCACCCTTGGCAAACACATCCAGCACATTATAGCCTCCTAGACTTCACAAACCTAAAATGTATTCACCCTTGGCAAACACATCCAGCACATTATAGCCTCCTAGACTTCACAAACCTAAAATGTATTCACCCTTGGCAAACACATCCAGCACATTATAGCCTCCTAGACTTCACAAACCTAAAATGTATTCACCCTTGGCAAACACATCCAGCACATTATAGCCTCCTAGACTTCACAAACCTAAAATGTATTCACCCTTGGCAAACACATCCAGCACATTATAGCCTCCTAGACTTCACAAACCTAAAATGTATTCACCCTTGGCAAACACATCCAGCACATTATAGCCTCCTAGACTTCACAAACCTAATATGTATTCACCCTTGGCAAACACATCCAGCACATTATAGCCTCCTAGACTTCACAAACCTAATATGTATTCACCCTTGGCAAACACATCCAGCACATTATAGCCTCCTAGACTTCACAAACCTAATATGTATTCACCCTTGGCAAACACATCCAGCACATTATAGCCTCCTAGACTTCACAAACCTAAAATGTATTCACCCTTGGCAAACACATCCAGCACATTATAGCCTCCTAGACTTCACAAACCTAAAATGTATTCACCCTTGGCAAACACATCCAGCACATTATAGCCTCCTAGACTTCACAAACCTAAAATGTATTCACCCTTGGCAAACACATCCAGCACATTATAGCCTCCTAGACTTCACAAACCTAAAATGTATTCACCCTTGGCAAACACATCCAGCACATTATAGCCTCCTAGACTTCACAAACCTAAAATGTATTCACCCTTGGCAAACACATCCAGCACATTATAGCCTCCTAGACTTCACAAACCTAAAATGTATTCACCCTTGGCAAACACATCCAGCACATTATAGCCTCCTAGACTTCACAAACCTAAAATGTATTCACCCTTGGCAAACACATCCAGCACATTATAGCCTCCTAGACTTCACAAACCTAAAATGTATTCACCCTTGGCAAACACATCCAGCACATTATAGCCTCCTAGACTTCACAAACCTAAAATGTATTCACCCTTGGCAAACACATCCAGCACATTATAGCCTCCTAGACTTCACAAACCTAAAATGTATTCACCCTTGGCAAACACATCCAGCACATTATAGCCTCCTAGACTTCACAAACCTAAAATGTATTCACCCTTGGCAAACACATCCAGCACATTATAGCCTCCTAGACTTCACAAACCTAAAATGTATTCACCCTTGGCAAACACATCCAGCACATTATAGCCTCCTAGACTTCACAAACCTAAAATGTATTCACCCTTGGCAAACACATCCAGCACATTATAGCCTCCTAGACTTCACAAACCTAAAATGTATTCACCCTTGGCAAACACATCCAGCACATTATAGCCTCCTAGACTTCACAAACCTAAAATGTATTCACCCTTGGCAAACACATCCAGCACATTATAGCCTCCTAGACTTCACAAACCTAACAATATAACATGCCCTTTATAATTCCTCATATGTAACATCATAAACAGCTCACTCACTTCACACTTTACTGATTTAAAATCTATTTAGCTGGGGAAATGTAACAATTCATGTCACTGTGCACCAAAACAGACTGGTTTATAGAAATTATCTCTCATTAAGGTTTCAGATACCAAAGAGATGTCTATGAACTAGTGGTGAAATGGTTCATATGTGGATGAAAACAGACCTTTTACTTTCATTATGTGGTCCATGGTGCAAACCTTCAGTAAAAGGGTCATAATTAGGATATAAGAATGTTGATTAAGTTCGTGAAGACTCAAGACAAGCAATGGCGAGTAGAACAGGAAAACTGCCAAGGAGGGTTTGTGCATTCTGCTTACAAATAATCTGGCTTAGAAGCACTGGTGAGGATGTCAGTGCAGCTTTCAAGTCCAATTAGGAATCTGAAATTATATTTTACCCTGCACTAATCTAAATGATAATCAAACTTAATCCAAAAATTGCATAAAAAATGTAAACATTAAATGACTCATAATATTGAGTCTGTCACTGAGCCACATCTCCATCCCAAAAGTGAAATTAAGTGTATGGATGTGGGGTGAAGACTCTTTAGCTCCAGCTCTGCCAAAGATCTCATGCCTTAAGTTCTTGTAAAATTCTAAACTTGGAGATCTTCTCTTGCAAATACTTCCTTGCCATCTCACATACCATCAGACAACGAAGTTGATGTTCCCAGTTGTCTTGTTTGCACGGACACTTACCAGACTGTCTGCTATCTCCTGATTTTCTGTCTTCATACAGACAACTGAATTCTACAAGCTGCTTCTACCACACATACTGATTGATGGTCCCTCACAATTAATTCGCTTAGTGGGGGGTGGAGTCTAACTGGGTCCAATCGGCATGGTGGCCACTAACTGTCCTATTGTAGCCTGCCCCAGCTGATTATGATGATGGAGAATTTGGTGGAATGAATATTGGCAGGGGAAACCGAAGTACTCGGAGATAGAACACGAGCGGCTTTCTCCACCAGATTTACCGCTTTTGCTACTGTGACTACAGAATGCCTAGTGGGGTGCTCAAGTACATGCACGTTCCAAAACTTTTGCCTTTTTAAAATCAATATTAAAATGTGGAACAACTGTTTGTTGTAATAACTCCATACACAAAAATTTATCACATTAATAAGATTTTACAGAAGAAGAGAATACAGTCATGCCACAATGTACCTTTCTAAATGTGCCAAAGTTGATAGCAGGCCTTGACGACATCTCACTAAGTAGGCAATGTATGGAGACCTTTTCTGGTAATCTTCTTTAAGGGATTTGAAGAGCTTCCGGCAGCTGGAAGAACAAATGTTAAACAATTGCACACTCTTGAGGACATGACTGAAATGGGATACAAATAATACAGTATATAAAAACACATTACACGTGATCTTTCATCTGCTGCATTTGCTGGAAGAGCATTTCTGACTACCAAATGCCGAACAACACTTCAGCTTCAAATTCATGGGAGTGAATATGGAAGAAGTATTTTTACAAGGTTTTAAGTTGAAATAAATATATTCTAATATAATAAAATTATGTCCAAAAGTTGGGGGCCATCCAAATTTCATTATGTGGACAATTAGACATAATCTATAACAACTCAATATCCCAATTACATATACTCACCCACTATCATCGAAGAGCTGGATGCATCGAAGGGTTTCATGCAAATGTGCAATAAGTGAACGGTCTTGGAGATTGATAGCTTCTGCTAACTGCAATTTGAGAAATGAGACCAGCTCATTCTCCTTCTGTGCCTGAGATTCCCTCTGAAACAGTGCATTAGGAATAGCAACAGATCTTCAAGGCCAATGAACCGACAGATGCTAAACCTACCTTTCACTCGTATGTTACAACACATTCTTCTTGGGACAGGATATAGGTGGGGAATAACAAATTTGGGTAAGTGTAAATCAAAGGAAAATAAACATACCACGACCTTGACCTATTAAGGTACTGTTAACTGTATATTAACTATATGGAAAACAGCCCCTTTTAAGAAGCTGATAGTTGATCAGATGGCAAGAATTTCCATCACCATGGAACATGAACATTCTTTACCATGTTCATAAGAGACCATTTCTGAATCCTATTAATTCATTTTAATCATTAAAAAATATACACAGAAATGCCACACTCAAATACATTGTTAACCATTCACAAACAACAAAATAAACAATTTTTAATTACAATAAAAAGTTAGTACTCCAGTTTAAGGGAGAAACACAATAACCTGAAAACTTAAAATGATAGGACAGCAAAATAAATAAGACACTGATAAACTAGTACAGCTAAATGTATTTTCTTTAAAATATACTAAAGATTTAAGACAACTACTCTTAAGAAAAAAGTTGCATACCAGGTCTGACTAAAGTTCACGAATTCGCCACCGTTTGCTTGCCATGGCAGCAGTGGACAGAAACCTCAGTACAGTTTGATGACAATGGCATATCAGTATTTCACAGCTATGTTGTTGTTGTTGTTGATCTATGGCAGTCTCTTTCTGAGTAGCATCTATTATTGTCTGTGTGTTTTGGTGTGCTACCATGAGAATGTCAGAGCTTGAATTAGAGCACTGAACATTCCACAAAACCAGTTCCAAAATTATTTCAAGGGTGGAGTAGGCACTGGCATTGGTGCATAGCTTCCCATGGGAAGTACTTTAAAGGCGACCACACTGATATTCAGCAATGGGGTATGTAGCACTTTTACTGTGATGAGTTCACAAACTTTACTGTCAAACCACATATGTTTAATTCAATAGCAATAGTGGCACAAGCCCAGCACAAACTTTAACTATATCACAATTACATGTCACAAATTTTTAATCGTACTGGAGACATTTAGGAGCTGGGAGAGCATAGTCAGTATAGTGAGTGGCTACAAGCTGGACAACCGAGGGGTCGGAGTTCAAGTCCTGGTGAGGGTAAGAATTTTCACTTTTCTATGTCATCCAGACAAGCTCTGGGGTCCATCCAACCTTCTGTCCAATGGGTACTGGGGGCTCTTTCCCCTGGGGTAAAGCGGCCGGGGCGTGAAGCTGACCAATTATACCCCCATTCTCAGAGAGACAGCATCACATACCAAGAAGCAGTTTCAGGTTTCTTTTTACACAGGTAAGAAATGAACACAGTATCCATCAGCACATTACCTACTGTCCTTCTGCATGAAGCAGTCTTCTATAAAACACAAGAAAGAAGGATAGTCTCTTACTATATGGGTGGCAGAATCTGCAGCCCAGGGAACATGCTGCAGGTCTGCTGTGCTCAACACCATACGTAGCTTGCGTTTGGCATCAATGAACGCATATGAAGCTTCAATATTGGCTGGGTCCATACTTAATCTTTCATCCTCCACCTCACCCACTAGTTGTGGTGCTTTCAATTCTGTGCCAGCCTCAGATGCTGTCGAGTCTCCACTTGCACTAGGCTTACGTCGATACTTTGCAAGAATGTCCTCAGTTGTATCTACAATGAAAAAGGATCTAATATAAAATGACTATTCCATGATGCACAGGTGTGAAGGGAAAGCTCTCATTATTTCCTGTACAGAATAACATTCCAAACTTGGTTCCAATTGTTATATTTCTCCAGTTTGACCATATATTAAAAGCATCTGTTTCATGTTATTCAAAATGGTAATTCAGTAACTGAAACAGACACAATACTTGATTTTCTGTAAGAACTTGTTTACCCACTACTGATCAATATAGAGTCCATTTAATTAAGAATTTGGAGCATATTTTTTCCCCTTCTATTGACATAAACATTAGTGTGTTTAATACCGCTTTCATGCGGCTGGAAGGAACTCAAAATGCTTTCAGAATAGCAACACGTGTCCAGTGGGAAAGCAACCGTGTGCTATTTGTTTTCCAGCATTCCAAATAAACCAGTTTCCATTGTCAACTTAAGCGCTATACATATTCTGAAGTGCAATGTGTAATGGTGACAATGGTAGCAATAAAAGTCCTAATAATAATTTGACAGATCACTCTGATTCATTGCAGGTTTCCTATGCGGTAAGATGCTTGCCATTTTGAAAATCTGCACACGTACGTTCATTTTACCAAGGCACATGAAAATGAAATATACCTCCACCTTTGCAAATAAAAAGCCTCATTCCTATCAGATATCAAAATTTTATTAATGTGAATTTAACTTAATTCATGCCCTTGCTATTTATGGTTAAACTACAATAATTATGCTAATATCTATCAGTAACAGACACACTAATACCACACTAACCGCAATTCCTGTTAGACAAATGATAAACATACTGACTTGGACTGACTAGGGGATAAATTAAGATATATGACAACACCCTTAAAATATCATTCTCTTTGGATGGACAGCAGAAAACACAATGGACATGAAGATACATGCCCAATGGATGGTGCTTTGTTACAAAACGAACCTCAAAGCATATCAACAGCTCAAAAGCACACAAATGGGAAAGCTGCATGTGAATTCGACTGTAACCATTCTGAAAAATCTAACAACACTCTTAAAATGTTTGACTCATATTGGTATTCTTACTCCTGTTTCTTCATTGATAAATACAAGGTAAAAGATAAAGCTATCCCTGCAACAGGCTGTGGAGGCCCATAGGGTTGAGACATCAAGGCTGCCACATTTTCTAGACAATCGGCTCACAGATGGTGGTGAGGTTGTCAGCCTTACACACCAGCCACCCTTTACCCCAGGAAGGTTCCTGGTACTCATTTCTGTTAGAGGCTGGGTCAACCCCAGGGCCATAGTGCAGCTGGAAGAATTAAGTAAAGTGAAAAATCCATTAACGTCATCAGGAATCAAACCCATGAGTTTCTGGCTTGTAGCACAGTGCCTCAACCAACTATGCTACCATGTGCCCCTGATAAATGCAGAACTTCACCCTATTTTTGAACAAAAGGAAAAGAATAAATCCTCACCTTATAGTTGAGTAAAGTTGAGGTAAGGCTGACAACCTTACAAATATAAATCACTCTGTCCAATGTGACCTGTCTTCATATAGGTGTGATACTGTATGTATATACCGTAATGGATAGATGCCTATGTCCAAGAAACTGACTCATATTAGTATTCTTACTCCTGCTTCTTCATTGATAAATACAGGTAAAAGATAAAGCTATCCCTGCTATCACATTGGACGGAGTGATTTATATTTGTAATTGTTAGTGTGACGGACCAAGAAAAAAAAACTGACAACCTTACTACCATCTTTGAGCCGATTGTCTAGTAATGTGGGACCCTCAACGTCTCTCAACCATATGGGCCTGCATAGCCTGTTACAGGGATAGCTTTACTTTACACCGTTTAAAATATTTTCTTAAAGCAGCAGAATATTAAATTCTGAGATCATAAAAAAATAATTTTCTCCAGAATATTTATACAGCAATTTTATATTTTATAATCAAAACATTTGTAATAAAACATGCATGCAGGAACAAGGCTGTAAAAAAAGAATTTGTTTAATACAAAGTGCATGCACTATTGTTTAACGAAAATTAAGCCATATGATGCAGAGCATAACTACTCACCGTTACAGGTATGTGTTGGTCGCACCTCCTCTGACATTCCTCTCCTGAGTCTTAGGTGGGAAACATCCCCTTCACCAGCAGTTAAAGAAGATTCATAACTAGGAAAATCAAATACATGTCTTCTAAAAACACTAAATGTCATTCGTGAGTAACGTGTTCCTGAAAATCACTGTGTAATATGCAATCACAGACAGTGAGTTAATTTTAACACACCATAATAAGAATGTGTTCCAAAATCATGAAACTGTAAGCAAAAAATTATCAATAATTGCTTACACACAGCTTTCATAATCTTAATTACTATGTCTATGTGCATATTATTTTAAGCTTCTACATGTATAAAGATGATTAATTAATAATCATAATTAATAAAAATTCAGATTATAAAAAACAAAGCCTGTGAGAGCACAAATCATTTCTATTATTTTTTTCAATGGTGCCACATATCACAAGAACTGCAAACATTAAGCAGTTCACTTACACATTACACCATACATGGCCTCCTAGTGAGCACAATGCAGACAGGGCATTAAAAATGGGGGAGACAAAAACCCTAATAAAACAAACCATGACCACTGTCTGAAGGTGTAGGTGCACTTTTAGTAAGCAGGCGACAAGGCTACCTACCATCGGCTACTGAAATCATCAGATCCTCGCAGTGACTTGACTCTGCGACTCTTGAAAGAAAGTTTGAAGTTTCTGAAGAAACCTCTCTTATGCTTTTGATCATCATCAAGGAGATCCTGGAATGAAGACACAGCAAACACAATTTTATCACTATGTAAGCATAAGATTTATGAATTGCTCTTACTTAGTCACAGGTTTCAACTGGTTGGTTTAATAATGCTTTTCAATTGCAATGGTCATGCAGTGTTGAATGGTTGGTCATGGTAAACGACAAACTGTAAAGATCAGGAAGGGAATAGCTGTGACCAGTATAATGCCACTATGCCAGTATTTACAGGTAGACACATGGTCCAGTAAGGATAGCCTATTTCCTAGATCCAAATGTGACACCTCCTAAAAATGAAGTGGAACTGCTGCCCATTTAACCATAACATTCAGCAATGAATATGTATATGTACACAAACAAAAAACAAACAAACAAACTCTGTGCTTTTACTTCGCAAGCGAACTATACTGACTGAGTGACTGTCACTTGTCGGCGAAGTTACTGCCAACTTTACCAGACAGAGGGTGTCGCATGGTCAGCACAATGAATCCCCACAGTTGCTGATTTCGGTTTTCTAGACTGGAGTCGCCATTTCATTTAAACAGCTCCTCAGTTATCCTCACGAGGCTGAGTGGACCCCATTCCAGAACCACTACTTCTCAGAAAATCTGGTAGTATCGAGAATCGAACCTGGACCTCTGGATCTGTAGCCAGGAACTCTGACCACTAGACCACAGAGGCAGTTGATGTATATGTATACATGAGGTATATGTGGGCATACTTGCTTGAGGTCCATCACTATACTGTATCAACATGGGTCAGTGAAACAATGCAACAGTGAAGGTCAAAATAAAAGAAGTGTTTAAAAACAGTGAAAACATTATGTTTCATTTGCAAGTCAACTGCTTGTTAGTGGGGGCATGTGGTAGCGTAGTTGGTTGAGGCACTATGCTACAAGCTGGAAGGTTGCGGGTTCAAATCCCGATGAGGTCATGGCATTTTTTCAATTGACCTAATCCTTCTAGCCGCACTATGGCCCTGGGTTTGACTCAGCCTCTAACAGAAATGAGTACCAGGAATATTCTTGGGGGTAAAGGGCGGTCAGCGCATAGGGCTGCCAACCTTGCCACCATCTAGGAGCTGATTGTCTAGAGAAAATGTGGGAGCCTCAACATCTCACAACCCTATGGGCCTCCATGGCTTGTTACTGGGATACCTTTACTTACTTACTTTACTGCTTGTTAGTTTGTAACTGTACACTGTAATCCTCATTAAAACGATGCTTCAGAATGTGAAAATGAGCCTCTGATGCACGTAAACATGTGCAGTCACATGACAGACTCCAAACATCACTAAACCTAAAATAGCCAACATAACTAACTCACTCCATCCACATACATGAATCCTTGGCGAGAAGCTGAGAATTGTTCTGCTGCTCAGGAAGTTGTATTTTTTTATCGATAAAACCTAGAGGTCGTAACATGTTCATTACATTCTGGCCCTAGAATCTGTCCTGAGTCAATGAATCACTGTGTTCCAAAAAGGCAGGAAATTTCTTGAGCATGAGATAAGTCACCATCAGCATCTCAAGGAAAGCTAAACTCAGTGCAAGTGTTAGGTAAAGCCAAAAAAACTGATGGCCAGCCAGCTGGATGAGCCTAACGCACATTTCTTTTTGGGGGGGGGGTAGAGGAATATGTAGTGCTGATGAACTCAAGATCAGCAGGGTAAAACCTACTTCAAATAAATAAACTATCAGTAACATACTGACTTTGACCCTGTGTAGTAAAGAGTAGGCCGACATATGGCACAACCTTAAAAATAAATATCTACTGGCATAGAGAAGTGTCAAGTGCAAGTGGTTCTACTGAAATCTTGTAGAAAAGTGAACCACTTTTCCAAAATATATGCATACTTTGTATAAATACCGTATTTACGCATGTATAGGCCGCAGCACAATTTTCAGACAGAAATTATAGAAAAAATAATTTTCTTGGAATATTATTTCAGGAGTAGAACACCCTGTATTACTAATTATGAATATATTTTTTTTAAATGAAGTGTGATTTCGAATATTTCGAATATAAGCCGCACCCCAGTTTTCCTCTTGAATTTTTGGCAAAAAATGTGCGGCGTAAATACGGTACACAGTACTATTCTTTGTTTACCCATATATTTAAGACGTTTAATTTCATCAGAGAAATTGTAGATAAATTAAAAGGATTATAAGTAAAATATCAAGAAAATAAGTAGTACCCAGTAAGATGTTTCGGATATGACCTACTGGCATGTGTGGGAAGTTATTTCACCAATGATAAATATATATGTCAATGTTATGCAAGAGTAAAACTGTATTAACCGTTCAGCGTGGTTTGACGTGTATGTTTCGTCAAGGTATTTAAATCGTCTGCGGGGGTTCGACGTCTATGTTTCGTCCAGCTGCACACCTATGTTATAACGCCCATAATAATTGATGGTTTTGCTGTAGATTGTTAGATTTTTCGCTGGCCTGTTGTCAGAAGGACAGTATATAATAAGACACGACTTTAGCTGCGTTAAATCATCGCTACATATGCCTGTCTTGCAGCAAAATCCTGTTGCTCTTGGGAGAGATTTCCTCATTCAAACTGTTATGAATGGTGTGTTTTTTTTTCTATGAAGTTATAAACAGCAGAGACGTGATATGTGCTTTGTTTATAATATCATATTGCCCTGAGCTGGCCACACCAACACACTCAATTGGAATTCTTAGAAGAGGGATGTCCAAATTTTATTCTTGCAAGATCGATTGATTTCGCACAGTACATAGCAGCCAGTTCTTACAAAAACGCCACAAATTAAGGCAGAACACTGTGGTCACCCCCTGTGACGATACGGGTGTGTGTGGGGGAGGGAAAAGAACTCATTCCTTCATGTATTATCGCTCCAGTTGACTCCATTTTATCGTACTGACCTTGGTGGTCGTTTCGAGGGATGACCATAAATATTTTTTTGAGCCAGCTAAGCTCTGCTTTCGTTCACTACATACCAGGCAGTTCTTAGAATAACTTCATGAATTCTGTGGTCACCCCTACGACATCTGATGCAGCCAAGATGGATGGAAAATGAAACGCAGAAGCACCAACCCTTGTTATGATAACATAAAGGTTGAATTTACTGCAGCTAATCTGGCAAGCTATATGACTCACGGAGACATTTCCTTTTGTATTCCCCCCACGGGGAAGAAGGCAAGGCCGCACAGAAGATGTTTGGTTTACGGAAAAAAGAGCCAAATGAGAGATATGCAGTATTGGTGTGGTGAATGTGAGACGGTATTGAGTATAGAAGAATGCTTCAATGCGTACCATACTCTGCTCAAATTCTAAGCCACCTGCTTCCATTGCCGAAATACTGGGCGCTCATATTATAAGGCAAGGTTATAAAACCATCTTTTAAGATCATTTTAGTGAAAGTTTCATGCTTCAAGGCGTACGATACACTGCTCAAATTCTAAACCAACTGCTTCCATTGCCGAGATACCGGGCGCTCATATTCTAAGGTAAGGTTATAAAACCACCTTTTAAGATCATTTTAGTGAAAGTTTCATGTTCCTATCTCATATAATTTAAGAACAATGATGAATAAATCATTTTCGAGCAAAATTTAAATGGTCGGTTGAATATATTACCGCCAGAGAGACACGGCAGCAGAATTTAAATGACCGCGCAAAAGGGTTAAACAACAAACATATTTCATGCATATAATCAGTTTATATGAAGGCTATTCTGGAGAAACCTCTGTTTACTTTAGGCAACTAATGTAAGGGTGGGGGAGAGCTCACACATGTGAAGTAGTGTCACACGATTCATTGCCTTGTAAACCATCACATACCAGGTCATATAGATTTTGTTCTTGCCTCTACAGAGAGAGTTATGATGTGTCCTGTGATTGATAATCCTGACAGCTGTGAAATTTGTGATGTTATCCACTTTCTTCGCGCTATAAACAGGAGTGCTACAGAAATCCATTGTGAATTATGTGCAGTTTATGGCCAAAATGTAATGAGTGAAGGAACTGTAAGAAGATGGTGTAGAATGTTCAAAGACAGATAACAAATGTTCATGATGAAGAGTGAAGCAGCTGGCCATCTGTAGTGAGTGATCATCTTGTTCAAAGTGAAAGAAAGCACTTCACAGTTTCAGAACTTTCATGTGAATTTCCTCAAATTTTATGTACTCCTCTCTACAAGATTATAACAGTTACATTAGGTTATCATCCCAAGTTCTTTGCATGACTGGTTCTGAAAATGCTCAGGGGTGCATACAAAATGCACAGAATGGCTTAGGCTTGACACTTTTAAAGCAATACCACAAAGATGGTAATGAATTTCTTAATGACATCATACAAGTAACAGGTGATGAAACCTGGGTTTCATTTATGAATGTTGAAACCAAAGAGCAGTCAAAGCAGTGGATGCGCGCACGCGCGCATGCACACACACACATGCTTAAAAAGTTTAAACAAATGTCTGCAAGAAAGCTGATGGTAACTGTTTTCTGGGAAGGAAAGGAGTGCTAATGGTGGGATTCATGCAGCAAGGGACCACAATAATATCAGAAGTGTATTGCAAAACACTAAGAAAACTGCATAGGGCCAACCATTCAGAACAAAAGGTGGGGAATGCTAACACCTGGTGTAGTGCTCTTCCATGACAATGTGTGTCAGCATACAGTTGCTCACACTTGAGCACTGCTGAAGCATTTCAACTGAGAGTTGTTTGATCACTCTCCTTGCAGCCCTGATTTTGCTTCGAGTGACTACCACCTGTTTACCTACCTGAAGAACTGTTTGTGATTACAGTGCTTCAGCAGTAATGAGGAGTTAATGGAAGATGTCAAAACGTGGCTGAGCTCACAGGTGGAAGACTTCTTTCGCACTAGCATACAAAATCTTATTCCCTGATATAACAAGTACCTCAATTCTGGCTGTGACTACGTTGAGAAGTAGCTTAACCATGTACATATTTTTTGTATATAATAATTTTTTTCTCATTGTTTGTTCAGTTAACAGCTCACCAGAGGTTATTTTCTGAATAGTCCTCTTATAAATACCTTCTTCCAGTTACAGTGACCAGCCGATCAGAGTGGCTGTGCGGTCTAAGGCATGAAATGTCTTTGCTCCCTTGAATGCTGGGATCGTGGATTCGAATCCCACTCAAGACATGAATGTTTGTGTGCATTTATTATTTGTTTGTGTTGTTCTGTGTGTAGGTAGCAGCCTTGAAACAGGCTGGTCCCTCATCCAAGGAGTCCTACTGATTGCATATATGATTAAGAAACTGAAAAAGCGGCCAAGGTCCAACAGAAGGACTGCAGAGCCATAAATAGACAGACAGAGAGGCAAACAGACACTTACATTTACGTTATGAAAATAAGGCTTTTACCTTGTCTCCTCGCTCGGCAGTCTTATCAAAGCTAATGCTCTTAGGAATTGCTCCTGTGGAAGAACCAGCAGGCTGTTTTGTTACAATCACCTCTTCATCTGCCATCATGGCATGACCATTTAAAACCAGTGTGGCAGGAGCAAGTGGCAAATCTATGAAAAACAGAATAAACTGATACAACAAAGAACTAAAGTGGATGTTACAGAAGACTGAGGGTGACTGATGGTGGCGTAATAGCAATCACTGTTCCATGATGAAAGTTACATAAATGTATGTCATTTGGTAGTTCAGTCTTTTATTAGTCACTGCCTACTGTTTATTGTAGCCATTGTAAGTTTATATATAATGTGACATCTCAGACCTCTCAAATGCATCACACTTGTGACCAGATCTGAGCTGCATGAGGCAACTTTCTGAACCATGAGTGGTCAATATATTACATTGCTAAATACCTAAATAGTGCATATTTAGGGGTAAATAACAAAGAAAGTACAAAGGAAAACATTTTCATGCTTTTCAAACTGAACCCAAGTATCAGAATTTTCACAGGGAAGTTAGAAACTTACGGTATGAGGTCTTTTAATAATTACGGACATGTAAATGGAGACAGGCCAATGCAGTATGTTGCTAAATCATAAGATTGATGCATATGGTAATCATAGGTTCAGGCGGAAGCAATCTATAATGCAGTAACTTTGCGAATGCAATTATTTTTGCATAGCACATGGCCACCCACCATGTTCTGTTACAACCACTTTAAACTGCATATGGTCAACAGACTTCCAGAATGTGTGACTCCATACACATACCTGGAGTAGGCGTCACAGTCTTTGGTCTGGGATCAGAGCCACTGCCACTGCTGCTTGTTGAAGCCAGGCTGGTTGAACTGAGTCTTACCACACTAGGAATTACATCTCCCACACTGTCTCTGTCAGCTTCCTCTTCACCATGCATTTGCTACAACAATGTACGTATGCATTAAGTTTGTGCATGCAATGAAGTGATGCGAACTTGAATATGAGTTCAATAACAAAAATAACTGACATTAAAGAACTTAAACTAAACTAACTATACCACCTCAAGACAGTAACTAAAATGGTAAAGTTGTCCCTGTGATTAACTAATTAAGCATTATGCCATGAAGGAGTATTGGGGAGTGGATGTATAGATCCACATTTTCTTGACCTTCACAATAGCTGGAGGTGAGTGGTCAACTTCACGCTCCGGCCACTTTACCCCCCAGGGAAAGAGCCGCTGGTACCCACTGGATAGGAGGATGGGTGGACCCCAAACCCGGTCTGGACAACATGGAGAAGAGAAAATTATTGACCCTAGCAGGACTCAAAATCCAAACCCTCAGTTGTCCAGCCCGTAGCCAGTTGCTATACTGACCACGCTATCCCAGCTCAAGACAGTAAATTACGTATCACATTTCACTACATAATTTGTACCACAGTGATTTTCCACACCTCACTTTTGACAGTGAAATTAGTGGAAAATTTCCTTTGAATATCACATTCCATTCTTAAGTATGAAAGACAATACTGATGAAAAATCTTGTCACCAAATACCGAAAGAGTTATCTGATATAAAACCTGCACAACAGAAGAGAGCAAGAGGACAACAGTATTTGGCACAATTCAGCAACTATTGTTCTCTGCTGACTGCTACATGCAACATGACCTGTGCTGTGATTCTTCAACCATTTGATTGTGATACACAAAATGTGTTGTGCTGCTGCAAAATAACATGACAGACATGACATAAAAACTGAGATTAAAGAGCTTAAATATAGTGTAATAAATATTCAACAAGCATCACAAAAATGTTACCATTTACAATTAAAAATGTCCTTGTGAATATGATGCACTTTGTTAAAGACATATTATTTTATGGTGTATGTTCTGGAATGTGTTAAAGTTTAATAATACTACAAAAAGGGTTACAATAAAATGCTCTATAAGCCTTCTTCTGTTATCATTTAATACTGTATAGGACATACAAGGCTTGTCTTCCTCAGAAAATGTTTTGCTTTTGTGGGAAAGTCAGACAGTGATGACAAACTATTTTCATAAATCCTCCTAGAAATCATGCATCCAAGTTAGTGATTATGAAATTTGGGGTAATAATGTGTATATGTTACGTGACAAAATAAAGTATAACAGCTCACACTCTGCATGGTTGTGATATATATGTCACATTCTGAGAGTATGTGGCTTTAAAAATATAACTAACATAAACATGTGCAATCACAGTTGATCACAAAATTAAATTTTTGAGAAAACCAATTCCAATAAGCTCACCTTTACACATCAGTTACAGGGATATCATAGCAAAACCCACATTCCAAATTAAAGTGGGAACATGGCATATAAGAATTATAGGATTATGAAACCATACTGAAAATAATATACATTCTGTGGTTTGACTGATGTTCTATGACTAATGGAATTTGATATCAACTTTAAAATCTGAACTTCAAAGAGATATTCATCACCAAATTATGTAATAATGTGAAGTAATAGACAGTTCAATGGAGGCAAGCAGTAGCATAGTTGATTGAGGCACTATGCTACAAGCCAGAAGTTTGTGGGTTCGATTCCTGCTAAGGTCACTGAATTTTTCAATTGACCTAATCCTTCCAGCTGCACTATGGCCCTAGGGTTGACTCAGCCTCTAACAGAAATGAGTACCAGGAATCTTCCTTGGGGTAAAGGGTGGCTGGTACGCAAGGCCTCCAACAGTAGCAAGGTCAGTTTCACTGCTACTCCACCTCAGATATGGCAAGGCCAAGGCAACCAACAAAACTACAAGCAGAGGCACTATCCACAACGTAAATACTGTAGCAGCAACACAAACAAAATGCNTGCCGAAACATGTAGTGAGAGTGAAAGGAGGGGATAAATAAATGTATGCACTAGAAGACGGATAAAATAAATCATGGACTAAAATGCCACATGCTTATATAGGGATTCTCAAAATAACAAACTGAGAGGAAGAAGGAGGCAGTCAGAGTGTGAGACATGAATACACGGCACATTTGTTCCTTAGAATAGTACTGATATGCTTGCAGGTTTATTTCCACATGATGTAGCCATCACATGCTTATGCTGTGTAATATGACCTTGCAACCTACGTCTCATTCAGGAGCCAAGGAGTAAGTTTTAATACGTATGCCATGAGATGATATGGTTAACTTGAACTGACTCATTTATGGCATTCTATGAAATGGCTTCGACCCCAGGTCTGAACATGTGGGATTTATGGTAGACAAAATGACACTGGGGCAGGTTTTCTCTCATTCTTCTGCTTTCTCTTGCCAATTCTCATTCCACCAACTGCTCCATATTCATTAACCATTCTATCACTGACCCTATATATGTAGGTCGTACCGAAAGTCATGAGAAACTTTTTTTGCATGCAATCTAGGAATGGCAGACGAAAGAGAGTATGGTAGAAGGTGGAACCAGCTGTTGTGTTAACCTTGAGTATCTTGTGACATCAATAGCTTGCATCACGTGACCAGTATCACTCCTAACAAAATGGCCGACAACCATATGTCCTTTCACCAGTGTGCTGTCATCGAATTTCTTGTGAAAGAGGAAATCCCTGCTGCAGAAATTCACCAGAGACTTCAGCATGCTTATGGAAGTGTGTGTGCATGGGTGCGAGCAGTGTTCGAAGATGGGTGAAACATTTTAAAAATGGGAACACCAGCATCGAAGATGGGCCTCAGAGCAGTCATCCTCGAACAGCCTCAACTGAACGCAACAAGGAAAGAGTGGATGAGATCATTCAAGATGACAGGCGTGTGACTGTGGACACAATAGCCCAAAAACTTGGAATAGGGCACAGTGCAGTACAGGAGATGATTGAAAGCTTGGGCTATAGGAAAGGTCGTGCTCGTTGGGTCCCACGATTATTGGCCAAAGACCACAAAGGTCAGCGAAAAGCCATCACCTCAGAACTGCTGCAGAGATATCGACATGAAGGCGATGATTTTTTGCTCTGTATTGTGACAGGTGAAAAAAGCTAGTTTCACCATTTCAAGCCTGAAATGAAACGGCAGAGTATGGAATGGTACCGTTTGCATTCTCCATCAAAAAAGAAGGCAAAGACAGTGCTATCAGCTGCGACGGTGATGGGCACAGTCTTCTGGGGTGCAAAGGGGTTTATTCTGGCCGAATTCCTGGAACCTGGGCAAACCATCAATGCTGCTTGTTATGTCCATATGCTGCACAAGCTCTGTCATGCATTGCGCGATACATGTCCGGGATGAAACATCATCATCCTGCATGACAAATGCTCGCCCCCACGCTGCTCGCCTCACAGTGGAAGCAAATGCAAAGATGGGGTGGGAAGTTCCACACCCCTCATATAGCCCTGATCTGCCACCCTCCGACTACCATCTTTTCGGATTTGTGAAGGACAACGTTTTGAGACAAGGGAGGCAATTCAGAAAGCAGCGCGTCAATGTCTTCAGATGGCTGGAATGGAATTACAGAAGGGGAATTTTCAAACTCCCAGAACGCTGGGAGAAATGTGTACAAAGAAGTGGCGATTATGTGGACAAATAAAGAAAGTTCTGTAGATTGAGGTGGTGTATTTGGTTTGTCAATAATAAAGCATGTTAATTTACAAAAAATTGTTGCTCATGACTTTCAGTACGACCCTCATAGTTTCAATTTTGACAGCATTGTTAAATAATATAACAAAATAATAAAAAAGAAATTATATAAATTGGTATACCATAAACTAATTGTTCACATAACTGGGCTTCTTGTTACTGGCTATAGCTTTACTACAGAACTATCATTAATTTCTTAAGTTCCCCCCCCCCCCCTGCAGCTGATTCAATGCTTAAAAGAAAGTATTAGTTTTACGACAATAGAACTGCAACATACAGCAGATTAATGCAAGCTGCCATGATATATGAAGGCAAATCGAAAAGTCTTTACCCTTATTTTTTTTAGCCAAAATATACATTCAATATAACACGGTATGCTTGGACCAGCCCAGCATTAACTCTCAGCTGATGCATGGCACTGCGCCACTGTCAGTCGGAGAAAATGGCTGGTGTGCTCAACACGTGCACGTCATATGAGCAGCGAAGTGTTATTCATTTTCTATGGAGCAAGGGACGAACATCCATTGAGATCCATAGGGAAATGCAGCTGACATATGGGGACAAATGTCTCACTTTGAGAAGTGTGCGGTCATGGTGTTGTGAGTTCACTAATGGTCGGGAAGACCTTAATGACAATGAGCGGTCGGGGCAGCCTCACACCTCGCTCACACCAGACAACATTGCTTGTGTGGATGCAATGGTGAAAGCGGATCGGCATGTGCACCTGAAGGTCATTTCCAAGGAGCCTGGTATTTTGTATGGCAGAGTTTACGATATCGTTCACGATTCCCTGGGGTATCGCAAGGTTTCACGTCGGTGGGTGCCTAAGCCGAATTCTACAAGAGCAGCATCTCCAAACTAGTGGTGTGATGGGGCAAATGCCTGAACTGGGGTGGTGACTATGTGGAAAAATGTCAAAGGTACTTAGAACACTGCCTGTATTTTGATTTCCCTGTAGATGTATTATTGTGGCTGAAGGAAAATAAGTGCAAACACACTTTGACTTATATTACAATTACAAACATGGCCAATATGATACCACATTTTGAAACATGCCTCTCTAATCTTATCAACAGTCTGAGATGGTAGAAGAAATGTGATGAAATGGAAATACATGATTTACCTGTACTATTTACCACAGAGGCACCGTACGAAGTGAAATTCCCAAAATATCTGTACCTTCTGAAGCTTAACTCAAGTTGCAATTTATCAAATACTTTCATGTGCTGCCTGCTCAGGGCCATCACACTTCTCAATAGTGGTAATGGATTAGTATGCAGCATTGGTGGAATGATTAATATTAATGATAAATAAACACAGTAAATTATGAATCAATTTCAGTACCATTTTACACAGAAAGGGAAACTATAATATAGCCCAATGTGAGATAAAAACAGAAAACTGAATTCTGTATGGTTGGTTCTACATGAAGTAAAGCAGTAAAAGCACATATTAACACCAAACAAGCCAAAACAAGAAAGGATATATTACAGATGGGAATTACAATCATACCTCTGACTTCAGATCGGCATCCATGTTTGCAGTATTTCCACCTCCTGCATGACGTGCAGTTGCTGGTACATGTGGCTGAATATGACTGGTAACTGCAACACCCTGTGCTGAAGCATGATTGGCCTGAATATGTACCATAGGTACAGTGCTTGCAGACACATGATTAGAGAGCAGTGGCGGCGGAGGTAATGGATTTGGGCCCCTGTTCTGAAGGAGCTGTGCTGTTGGTGCTATGGAGCCATTATGCAGTGCTGGCAGTGTCAAAGGACCTGGGATGTGGACGATGCTCACACTTGCCTGACTTGCAGCAACTACTGCTGGTTTCAGGTCCAGCGGTTTGTCTATTTTGTCAATCACGTGAATCAGTCGAGTATCCTCTGCTGTGCTTTGAGAACCTAAATGATAATTGCATATGAGCTACAAATCCAATGTTTATACTGATATGTCCGAACATACTTCCTACATTCAAATGTAATGAAGAACTGCACCTTCTTGTCAGAGACTGCAAAAGAATTTGCTCAGTTTTATGAAAAACATGTAGACTGTCATCTTTTGGGTTATGACACAAGATTTTTATGAATGTTTAAAAGAATCATGATGCTTCTCTCTTCAGGATCCACTTATAACTTGAAGATGGAAACAAAATTTAAATCCTTAGACACAAAATGCTCTTGCACAAGGCTGAAATATATGTGTTCTCATCCAACCATGAAGCAAGCTTACTAAATAATTTGCATCACATGAACTATCCAACTCTTTTCATATGAAAGCTGGTACAATCTAGCACATATGCAGATTGATATAATATGAGGAAGGTTAAATTCTGTAGGTGGGCGGACAATATTAAAATGGATCTTAGAGAGACAGGATGGGAAGGTATGGATTTGATTGATCTGGCTCAGGATAGGGACCAGTGGAGGGCTCTTGTGAACACGGTAATGAACCTTCGGGTTCCATAAAATGCTGGGAAATTCTTGAGAAGCTGCAGAATTGGCGGCTCCTCCAGAAGGGCTTAGCTCCATGAATAAGTAAGTAAGGTTAAACTCTCTCCTGTGCTTAAGCAGCATGAATGAAGGTAAAGGTCCACACACACTAATTTCAGCTTTAAACTGAGATCACAGTCTACTTCTCATCACAGTTGCTTTACCTGCAGAGGAAGTCCTTAATAACCCTTATGATAAGAGGCTAATTTTACCCCAGAATCATTTTAAATTTGGATGAAAAAGGAAGCGAAAAATCCTAATGCCCATGACAGAATCTGAATCCCAACCACAGTAAGAGTTTTTGTACCTCTAGTACAACATGTAAAATGGTCCATTTCATTTCTTGAGTGAAGCAATAAACAAACTCTAATTATATAATGATATGACAACAACAAAATTAAATAAAATGTCTGTTTTGTAATAAGCACAGGGACTCAGTTATAAATTATGTTTACCTATATTTTTTTAAGTACTTCCTGGAATAACCTATGATGCCTAGTTCTCTTTAAATAAACACAGAGGAAACAAACATTATAAATTACCTAATAATTACATAGTTTTGTAATTTAGCTGTGGACCTGATTTTCCGGTACAGATTTCTAGTAGCTACAAAGCTGTAAAATATAAACTCAAACTTTTACATTGAAATGTTTCAGGCACAAAATAATGTTTCATCCAGAATTTTAACTATGTTTATGGTTCAAGAGTTACCAATATCAAATGATAAAGTAAATATAGTGTTCTTTCTCTTCTTAAATTGTTAGCTTACAGTCCACATAAAAATGACTTGAATCAAAGTTATATACATTTTGAAGCTGTATCCATTATGTAAATTACACTACAGTCTCCAATCAGAATACTGTCTGAAATCTATAATTTTGGGCACCTGTATTTCTTACATTCTAATTTCAGTGATATGAAGTTACCATGTTTGTTGAAGTCCATTGGAATGTGGCTACGATGTGCAGGATTGTTGGCACTACTGTCCACGTACTCAACAGTACGTCGACGATAGTCTGCTTTTCCACCACCACGACCAGTTACATTCCATGCTGGATGCGAGCCTCCATCTACCCTAGTAGGCGATGAAGGTGCCAACATGGATGATCGTCCCATAGGATCCTCACGGATTGGCCGAAAACCTAAGTTGACACCCACTGCTGAGATTAGTATTTATAAAACCAAATGGTGAAATTAATATACAGCTTTTAACAGAATGTGACCTCCATCTTAATGAGTACATTTCTGTCACATATTCTACAACAGAATCTGCTTCTGTTATGATGATCATCAGTGACGGCTTGTAGCTGTCTGAACAGGTTGGTCCAAATAAAATGTATCCTCCCAATCATGCCTATAATTTAGAAAACACAGGAAAATCTCCTTGTCCTTATTTAAACATGCATGTTTTAAGATATTACTTTTCTAAGTTACACAGTAACTAGCCCCCAACAACTATAGGCACATTCTGCACTGACAAGATCATTTTAAACAATGGTGGTGTGCCCCCTTGTGACTTGCAGCTGAACATCTTACTCCTCTTGGTAGCAATACAATGCCCCCTTAGGTCGGGGAGGAATTTGGATCCTGCAAGGTTTATCTGTGCCTTAAACTGCTCA